CTTCATCGCTTAGCTTTGCCATCTTCCTCTGGGGGTCGAGCCAAAGGTCCTCAAACTCTGAGATTGCTTGCCGCTTCCTCAATTGATCTGGTATTGCATGCAGCTCAGTGAGCAGCTTCTTATTAGCCTTTACTATGTTGGCCCTAATGTGCTCAGCAATCTCCACTTTAGCCTGAGGGAAGCCAAAGGTGAAATCTTTACGTTCGGCCGGACATCGTGTTCTCCATATAACCATAAGGATGGCCAGCCGAGTGTTCTTGAACAGATTTCGTTGAAAAACAGACCAGGTGGACGGGTAGTCAGTTTGCCTCCCCATCAGTATCAGGCCAATATCCCATTGGAAGGGGGTGCCTGAGAGCTTACACCATAGTGCGTCCCACCATCGGCAGACTTGGAGAGCCATGGGACAAACCAACAGACAGCGACGACGTTGGGATGAGGAGTGCCAACAATAAGTGCAGATCGGAGACAACACCCCTTTTTGTTCAAGATTCGATCACGCCGTTAGCCAGTCGGGAGTCGGAAGGCATCTATGCACAATTTGCCACTGAAGGGCCCGGTGAGAGGTTGGCATTATGTGTGCATAAGAGGTCCAAGGAATATCTCTGAGCTTCTTCTTCTAATGGTGAATCACGGGTCCATCTGTTGCGAACCACCGGGGTTGACGGGTGGAGATGGTGGGCCTGTTTATATCCATTCTTTACTGTATACTGCCAAAACGGGGTAGGTTTATGGCCGCTCCATTCCCACTCATCAGGGTCGAATGGGAGGGCACAAATGGGGGAGGTCATCTCAAAAGCAAAGTAGCCCGTGTCATCATCTTCCACAACTCGGATTCTTGTAAGAGTCTCGGTCAGGTGGTGGCAGTCTAGGTCAGGATTCCTTCTCAGTCCAGTCCACTTGGCCCCTGACATGATCGGTTCATATGCCTGCAAATCTGTGGTTCCCACGACCACATTGAGCACTCTATAAATGACCATGGGGATGGGGTTGGAGTTGTTTTTGGAGACCCAGTCATCCTTCCTCAGTTGCGGCCCAATTTTTAGAGCACGTACCCAACTTAGTGGTACCGCAGCGTGCAGCTGGTCGAGTTTTGTCTGGCTGTTCTTAATGTGCCTGAGGACCGGTCGCAACTGTTGTGGTGTTTTCCATGCTCCCCGTTGGACGTCCCACAGATCCCCTATGATGAACAAACCATTTTTCACCCATGTCAAACCAATGGCTACCAGTTGTAAGAGAAAAGGGTTGCCCATTATCTTCCAGTATGTGCGGGTTCCCAAAAATGGGTTGTCTCCAGATTTCATGCCATCGGGCAGGGGGGGATTTATTATTTGGGCCCATTTCTCGCCACAGGTGCAGGATATTTGTCCAGAGGGGATCATTTTTTAGGTCCTATTTGGTAGCATTTTGTGCAGTCCCATCTCGCTTATGTCGTGGCAGGCCAGGGATAGACCAGGCTTTATTTGTAAACCAGCGCAGCAGGTGGACAGGGTTATCGAGCATGGATGGGGGGGCCAGTTGGGCAAGCTGTATAAGTGCCAGTGGTACCCAGGGGACGTCCGTGGCCAGCAGTAGTCGAGTAATAACTTTGAAAATAAGTGCTTTGATCTCATCCCCGGGGTCCAGTATGCCCAGGCCACCCACCTTCTTGGGTTGGGTGATGTACTTCCAACCCACGCGCTTAATGCATCGCTCCTGTTGGTGATCATTCTTCCATAAGTAGGCGACGACTGCTGTGCGCAGGGCTGTCAGTTGCGCTTTAGGGATATCCCAGAAGGCCGTTTTGTACCATATTGACGCTAGAACAACATTGTTAATTGTCAGCGCCCTTCCTATGAGAGATGTGTGGAGGTCGTCCCATTTGGCCAACCTTTTGAGCGTTGTTTCCATTAGCACTTCTCCATGGTCTTTTGGGGGGCCTAGCGCTGTGAGCCTGATAGCCAAAATTCTGATCGCTTCCTCTCCAGGGCGCCAATTTACTGGGGGTGTCGGGGGGGGATTAGTCCCATTGGACTCAACCACCACCCTTCTGTTTTGGTGCCCCAGTTTACCTTCATATCAGCCGCCATGGAGAAGATGTGTATGGTGTCTGTCAGCGCTTGTAGAGAGGACGCTGTAGCTTTGATGAGCACCGTAAGGTCGTCCGCAAACAAGGATGTGACAGACACAAGGTGGGGTGGTAGTTCCGGGATGTCAATCCGTTCAATTGCCGGGTTTGCTCGGATCATGGCTGCCAGTGCCTCCATAACCAGCACGAAAAGGAGAGGGGCAATGGGGTCACCTTGTCTTACGGATCGCTGCAACTGAAAAGGGGGGGACAAGTGACCGTTAATCATAATGTTAGTGGCGGCCTCTGTGCATTATGGATACCCATTCCCTGAAGGACGCCCCAAAGTTCATCTTTTGCAGGCAACAGTCCAGAAAGTCCCAGTCCACATGGTCGTATGCCTTTTCAAAATCTATGAACAGGATTGTCGCCTCTCTCTTACGCTGTGTCGCGTACTTGATAGTTTCATTGACAAGTAGGACATTATCTTGAATATTCCTTTGTGGCATAAATCCTGTCTGGTCGAGATGGATGAGGTGGGTCATAAACGGAAGCAGTCTATTTGTGAGGGTTTTAGAGACAATCTTATAGGGGAGGGGCAGAAACGTAATTGGCCTGTACTTTCGAACGCCCGACTTATCCCCTTTCTTGTATAGCAGAGTTGTGACCCCTTGGCTTATCAAACCACCGAAGGTTCCTTCTTGCCTTACGGCTTCAGCATACTCCGACAAGCTGGTCTTCAAGACTTCCCAGTGTTGGAGCCAAAACTCCTTTGGGAAGGAGTCTAGGCCGGGAGTTTTCTCGTCCTCCATCCCTTGCAATGCCTTCAGCAGTTCATCCATGGAGAGAGGGGTCTCCAAGTGCATTCTTTGCTGATTTGACAACACAGTCGGAAGATGCTGGAGCATCAGGGTGCGGGCATTCGTGAGCTGCTCACTCCCCCATTGGGAGGATTCTGATGTGTTAAGTTTATGATAGAATTGGGCCGCATAGTCAACAATGGTGTAGACATTAGTGGCATCAGGGAGGGTTGGGCTAAAGGGGTGTTTTAATGTGGCAATCATTGTTGCTCGTGCTCTAGCCCTGGCTATTCTGAAAAAGGCCCTGACCATTGTCCCCTCTGTGTCTTGCCGCCTTATTCTTGCTTGCACTCTCCATGCCTCAGCCTGGTGGTCTATGAAGTTCTGCAAATGGTCCCTTGCTGTCTGCAGTTTGTTAAAAGTCTCGTCATCCAAGGGAGTTGTCTGCAATTTTTCATCCCAGTCCTCCAGATTCTTCAAGAGCTTGTCCAATATGGCTTTACGTTCCCTAGCATGATTAATTGAGAATTTCTTTATCCTATCCCTCAATTGGGGAATACCATTATTAAACCATTCCACTACAGAGAGAGCCGAATCKCGTTGGGTAACCCAGTATTCCCAGAATGTCCTCACCAGATCTTGTAATGTTTCGAGGTTCAACAAAGAGGCGTTAAATTTATAGAAGTCGGGCCCCCTTTCTATTTGATTAAGAAAGGAGATCCCCAACACTATTCCTCTGTGGTCGAAGGACTTGCAGGGACTGAAGGTCATGATATCAGCCACTAGTACTGTGCCAATGAGGTCCTCTGAGACGAGGATAAGATCGATTCGAGAGTTAGATGTGCCCGCTACACCTCTTGAGTGGACGCATGTGTATGCTCTCTTATTTGGATGGAGCATTCTGTAGGTATCTTTAAGTTGCAATGCCGCCATGAATCTTGCCAGCATTTCCGCATCTGGGGCCGGGGTAAGTTGAGGGGTATCCCTCGTCCCCCGCTGCAAGGAGGATCGTCTATCCAATATCGGATCTGGTGCTATATTAAAATCCCCGGCGATGATGAGCGGGGGGCCTGATGGTAGCTCTTGGCAGAGTCGATGCAGGAACTGGACGCGGTCCCCGGGATCATTTGGGCCATATACACTGACAATTCCTATCTCCTCCTCGCCTATTGTCACTTTAACGTACACCCACCTGCCGTCATGCTTGTCGTACTCGCATGTCGTGGGGACGACCCGTGAGGAGGGAGGTATCCAGATGGCCACCCCTGTTGAGGCTCCGGATCTAGCCGGAGCTAAGAATGATGTGTACGGCCATACCCACTTTGCCTTATGCGCGGGGGAGTGTGTAAGGTGAGTTTCTTGCACACATATGACATCTGGTCACTGACCTGCGTCATCCCCCTTCATCATTCGCCAGATGGCGTCGCGTTTCCCTTGTGACGCTTGTGCCAAGCCGTTCAAGTTAAGAGCTCTAATGTCTAAGTCGGCTTGCCTGAGCTTTTTTACCCACTCGGGAGGTTTCCTAAGAGGGGGGGAGACCTGTGGAGAGAGAGGGGGCTCAGGAGGAGGGGGAGAGACCTGTGGAGAGAGAGGGGGCTCAGGAGGGGGGGGGGATGGGGGATATTGATAAGGAATGCAGTCCATCTGTGAGAACATGCTGTTCGTTCTCTTATTTTTCCTTTGATGCGGGTGTTCTACACTTCCCCTGTACTAGGCAGTTGCAGGTATTTGACGGTCGGGGGGAGCATCGGAGTTGTTCCAACGGGCAAGATGGTTGAAGATTTGGAGGTTGATACTATTTTTGGTCTAACCATAGAGGGCGGTTCGTTGTCAAAATCCTCGTCCAAATCAGAATCCCCACCCTCAGACTGTGCATCTGACCCGCTGTCGTGGTCGCAGGCATCCTCTTCGATGTCTAACAGGTTCATTACCTGGGAGGCGAGGGAGGTGTTTAGTGGCTGCTCCCCTCGAGTTATGAGGGGCCCGGCCAACAGATTGGGCGGGATCCTCTGTGGTATGGGGGGTTGGGCTTGGATCAACTGCGTGTGGTTTGCGCCCATATGAAGAACTGCCCCTATTTCTTCGATCAGCACAGTCGGCCAGAATTGGCTGTCGTCAGTGCGCAAGCCCAAGGTGCCTTTCCTGTTGCGCACCTGGACCAGCTGGGAGGAGAGCCTGGAGCCCGCAGTTTTACTGTAGAGCTCCATGAACAGTGCAGAAACTGTGGAGATGGTAACTTTCGATACCTGTCCCCAGTCAATCTCATCGATATTGTGATATTTGTTAACCGCTTGCTTGATTTGCTGCTTAGCCATGATGCGTCGGCGCAATTTTTCCCAGTGCAATGGAGTTACGAGGTCGCAGATAGGTGCACCAGTTGGGGACAACGAGTTCTGAAGTATCCAATCAGTAAGTTCTTTCAACTGTGCTCTTACGGCCTTGTCACGAATCATATTGGTCTGCGCCGGCTTGCCCTGGGATGGGATTGTTTCAGCTTCCGCCATTCCCCCAGGCATTTCTTCCTCTGATGCAGTCTCTTGTAGAGCCTGGTGAAGCGTCCCTTCGTCAGACCCCTCTTCCTGAGAAACCGTTATCATATCTAGGTCAAGTGCCGGATGGATGCCGGGATTCTCTTCCAGGTGTGGAAGAGGGCCGGCAACATGTGGACCGTCAGTCAGTGATACCGGTTCCATTTCCTGGTCCTGGGCCGGGCTCGTTCCTCCTTCCGAGGTAGGTGGCGGTTGGGTAGGCTGGAGCCCTGTTGCTTGCTGATGTTGTGGTTGAGACAGCAGCTGAGCTTGGCACTGTTGATATTGTTGTTGTTGTTCAGCCAATTGCTGCAGGTGTGCCCGGACCAGCTGTTGCTTTTGTCTGTAGAGGAGCTGCTGATGGGCTAGCCATTCATGGGCCTGGTGGGTATTTTGGCTTTGTTGAGGGTAAGGTGGTTCCACTGTTCTGTGTTGGGGTTCTTGCTGCTCCCTGCTAGCCAGGGCCTGTTGGATATTCTGGCCTTGTTGTAGATAAGCTAATTTCTCTGCGCTGTGTTGGTGTCTACAAGCCAGTACTTTTTGTGTCTGGTCCCAGTGCTCTCGTTCTCTTTGCAGCTGTTGGTGGTCCTGGTTTTCGATCTGTTTCATTTCTTGCGTTTGTTGTTGTATGTTGTGTTGAGCCTGCAGCAGGTGGTGGAGCAGAAGCTTCTGCTGTTGCTCATCAGTCAGGGAACCCAACACTGCAGTGCTGGATGGTGTCGTTTTTTGCGAACTCGCGACTCGTTGGGCATCCATGGCATGTATCTGGTCATAGGCCAGGCGACAGAACAAAGCTTGCTGGTCGGCGGTGAGTGCAACCTCTTGTTCCCTTTGCACAGAAAGCCATTGTTTGTGGCTTCCAAGACCGAGGGATTGCTCCAGCTCCGAGCTCGCCCCAGAGACAGCTTGCACATCCGGTATCAAGGTGTTCATGTCCGGGACTCGCAGCTTGTGTGCTTCTGCGCAGACAATAGCCTCAAGGAGGTCGTCCTCAGCATGCCTATGTTCTGTCGTCATCTGTTGATATGCCGTTGCACCGAATTGCCCACATTGAGGTTCCCCCTTGTGCATGCAATCGTCATCACAGAAAGGGGGCTCCTTTGCACCTGCAGCTCGCCTGTCGGTGGCCTGCTGTATATAGTCACCCTTCCCCGTCCCCGGGCCGGCGTCGTTCTGTTGGTGTTGCTCCCCAGGTGTTCCGGTCTGGGAAACTGGGAGGGGGGCGTGGTCGTATGGGCGATTCGGGACCATTATCTTCGTACTTGCCGAAGCCGGGTTCGGGGTTTTCCGAGGCGTTGGCTAGACTCACTGTTATTTGTCAGCCCATTGTCTCGCTTTGCGGGTGTGGCTTCCGGAAGGGGCAGCCCCACCGGCCGTAGTGGATGACAGCCCGCGTCGAGGGGGATACACTGCTGCTGCTGATAGGGCCTGGGGGGTTGCTGCAGCTGCATTTGGTCCGCTTGACGTTGCTGCAGCTGCATTTGGTCCGCTTGACGTTGCTGCAGCTGCATTTGGTCCGCTTGATACGTTGTTTGGGAGGCTTCTAAAATGTCAGATGTGAGTCTCAGTGTTACATCTTCGAAGCCACACGGGTCCTACCAGACCAGACTTAGGGCTAGAGGGACACATTAGGGCCTAAAGGCCCGACCTTGGGGGATTATACGGCCGAAAGGCCACGACTTGGACCAGACCCGACGGGCAGGCCCAAACGACATTACCGTTTGGGCCTGGCGGCGCTCTTGAGGCTGCTGGGCACGGCCAGGCCTCGCAGCATTGAGGCCGGCCTCTGCCCCACCGGTACTAAACACCGGTCCGGCCTCACTTCGAGGCATCAAGCCACCGGCATAATGCTGGTGCGTATCGGTTGGCAGCAGCAGCGCTATTTTGAGCGCAGGAGCGGAGGACAGCAGCAGCAGCGCGAGCTAGCGCAGCAGCAGCACGGCGGCCATAGCCGCCTCGACAGCAGCCGGGCAGGTACCAGGAGGCGAGGATCTCTTCTCCTCCCTCCACGGTCCCGTTCCCTCCTCCTCACCTCCTTCTCCTCCTCTGCCATCTCTCCCCTCTTCTTCTTCTTCTTCTTCTTCTTCTTCTTCTTCTTCTTCTTCTTCTTCTTCTTCTTCTTCTTCTTCTTCAGACTTCATCTCCTTCTTCTTCTTCTTCTTCTTCTTCTTCTTCTTCTTCTTCTTCTTCTTCTTCTTCTTCTTCTTCAGACTGGAGACTTATACTAGTTGGACAGAGATCAGTGGTGGACTTCGGTGATAAGAGGCTGTGGTACTTACCAGGTTCGAGACTTGGCGATTGTTGGGGATGATACTCGGCTGCATCACAGATTGGACACCGGTTACATTAGGACTCTGTATCTCCGACATTGGTGACTTATTGTCCGCGACATTTGATCTTGTTCGATGACATTTTGGATTACCATATCGGTGACCTACTGGTTTCTATCTCGGTGACATCTGGTGCTACCTACATCTCCCACCTCCTTCGTCTCTCCTCCCACCTTCATCTGTGTATGTGCGTACGGGGCCTGAGCGTCGTCTATGCATGGCTCAGACCCCACCATCTCACCATTGTATGTGTGTGGAGTGATATCTGTGTGAGTCAGTCTATGTGAGTCAGTCCGTTTATCAGACTTCCGTTGCATACATACTCATCCTATATTGGTTGATATTTGGTTCTGCCCCATACTCGTTGATGAACTCACGAGTATGTAACAGTTTTGGTATCGGAGCAGACCATTTCACGGATCTGCTCACAAGGTAAGTCTGATTAGGAATAGATTGCTTCTTCGATCTTCCCAATCAGCTCTGTATTACTATCGAGATCCAAAGTTGCATTTTTTTTTTTTTTTTTCGGTATTCTGTTTAAATCGGCATTCCGTTTCAATTCGTTATTCGGACTTTTCTTCGGATTTCTGTTTTAATCCGGTATTCTGGTTACTTTGGATTCCAATTAAGTGCATTCTGGGTAATCTGACATTCTGTTTAATTCGGATTTCTGATTATTAATTTGTGATTAGGTTTAAATCAGTACTCTGTTTAATTCGGCATTCGGATTTCAATTCGGTTTCCGTTTTTATAATTCAGCATTCTGATTTTAATCCTGTATTTCGTTTTCTAAGTCGGCATTTCCGTTTTATAGCAGTATCGGAAATTAGGGTTACGAAAATTTTTGGTTTTCAATCAACTTGGGAAATTCAAACGTTTTCGAACCGTAAATCCGGAAATTCCGCGGAATCGAGGAAAATTAGGGTTGGGCCCGAAATTTTCGCGAATTTTTTTTCTTTCCCTGGTTTGAGACATTCCGAAAACGAACTTGGGCCTTTAAAAATCGGATTTTGTTGGCTGGAAATCCCGAAATTTTACGTTTTTCAAAATTTCGAGTGTTTTTCTTCCAAAATTTCTGAATTTTTTTTTGGCAACTTGTTCGTAATTGTTCCCCAGAATCGCAACTTCCGGGAAGTTCACTATTCAACGGTGAACTCCCGGACTAAAAGATGATCTCAACCATGGCTACGCCGGACCCGGACCCGGACCCGGACATTTCCGGACATGGAACCGGATCCGTGACCGGTAGCTTCTGGACGTCCGGAATTCCGGACATCTCCGGACCTCCGGACATGGGGGGATCCGGACGGTCCAGATGCCTGGACAGGTCCGGAAATGTCCGGACCGTAAAAAAAAAAAAAAAAAAAAAATCTGAAAAAAAAGTATGTTATGCAGAATAGCAATGCTAACCACTTTTGCCTCAGAGTCATATCAGAATTCCAAACCAAACTTGAGTTAAAAGTCAAAAACGATAAAAAAGCTTAAAAAAAACTGCAAGGAAGATGAGCATTAGCGAACTCCAACAATCATACAGCATCATACATATGAGTCCAGATAGCCTTGACCTCGAACCACAGCAGAATCACATCACGAGATACAACAAATAAGAACACACCAAGAGTTCAAAATTGACAATGCTGAAGTAGTCCCATCATCATCAACGAAGAACCAGAGTTGATATCCTATTGGCGCTCGGCGCCCAGACTACATGTGGCAGATCCTATCTAGCCTATACTACGAAGCAGAATGATGACATCAACAGCGTTCCCGAAGTACGAGCATATGGCGACCAATGTCGCCCGCTTCAGCACCAGGTATGTCTTGCGCTACACTCACAACCCCGATCCACACCGCACAGATGCCACTAGCACCCAAGGACCACTCTGCGCTTCACCCAGCATACAGCAACGCAGCTTGGCTATGGCTGCGTCCTCCCTCCCTACTCGCCCGTGAGAGCGTGAGTGCCAGCCAGCCAGCAGATAGCGCATCAGCGCTTGCGCAGCATGCAGCCAGCACCCGAATGCCGAATGAGAGGCAGGCCCTTCCCTATATCGAAGTGGCCTGCCTGCGTCCAGTCCAGGAAGCTTCCAGTAGGCCCCGGTAACCTGAGGCCCAGTCACGAGGAAAGCAGGCCTTGGGCCTGAAGTGGTTGCATGCGCCCAACTGCTTTCGGCCTGTGTTCGGCCCGGTACCTGAATCCAGCCCAGGGCCTGTTCTTCGTACATTCACACGGGCGGCCCAGGGCCTGGGTTCATTCAACCAACTGGCGCTGCGCAACTGCCTGAATTTTCCCCAATGCGGGGTACCCTGAAAACGAGGCCTGAAGGGCCTGTCGTGCCTGCCTTCACTTAGGGCGGCCGACCTTGCTGCAAATAGGGTCCCGTAGGGGCTAAGCGGGCGTAGCCTCGCATTCCCTCCTCCATATCTTCATCAGTCCTCTGGGAAGATCAATCCTGAGCCATCTGGCGCTTTCCTTTCAATACATCCTTCTCATAGCGGGCAACGATTTGAGGAGCGGTCTGCATCAATTCCTCCCGAGTAAACCAGCGGTCCTCTTTCGGATCCGTGTGATGTCTGAAGTGGACAYGAAACTGCAGTTTTGGCTTTGGAGGACGTCCCCTTCCTGGAGGCTTCTGAGCGGGCATCTCTCCGTGGTCGACGATATCATCGATGTCGACTTCTCCATCCATGGTTGGGGGCAGCATTGACCGACGGGAGGGAAACTGATCAGTTTCCTCGAACGCAGCGAGCTTAGAGGCGTGAAAGACAGGGTGAGTTCTGAGATGACCAGGGATACGGATGACATATGATGGACCATCAGGATCTGTCCCAACTACATCTAGAACTTCCCAAGGTCCAAAGTACTGAAGCATGAGTTTGCGGGATATCCCGAACTCCTGTCCCAGTTCTGAAGACTTAACCCAGACTCTGTCCCCAACCTGAAATGTAGAAGGGCGGCGGTGTCTATTCTCAGACTCTATCATTGCTGCCTGCGCCTTCTGCATGT